CCAAATTCAAAATACACTTTGAGAAAACCTCTAAAAAATAATCCTAAAGAATAGTTGGCTCTTTTTTATCCAAAAAGGGATTGCTTGTTCGTACTAATTTTTTTTGAGACAAGTAAGAGCTTTCTATAAAGCTGATAAAGAGAGGGACAACTCTTCAAAATATTAAATCCAAATTAAAAATATACTCTAGAAAAATCCTTAAAGAAATACCTTGAAGAGTGGTTGGTTCTTTTTTTATCCATAAAGGCACCACTACTTCATAGTTACTTCTCTCAAAGTAAGTGAAAGCTTTCTAGAAAGCTTATAAAGAGAGGAATTATTCTTCAAAATCTCAAATCTAAATTCTTATTATACTTTATGTTATTTTTATATATTATACCACTTTTCAACATAATATTGTTCATTATGAATAATTTGAGCAATAAATTTGTTGTTATAATCACTCTCTTATATGGCAACAATAACATTTTTTGGCAAAATTCCTATAGCAAGTAACTATGAAGTTAATTCTTTCTTTGCTGGTTGATGATATTAAGAAAATAAGTGAGATAAAAGAAAAGAAGGCTGATAATCATAAAGTCCATTTCACATGCTCAAGTGCCATTAAATACTATTTCATAAATGATACATATGCAATGTAAATAGATATCTAATCAAGTAATTAAACTATTTTATTGATGAGTATGACAATTTTTGTCATAATAAACTTATCTTCTATCATACTTATAGTCAATGTAATCTTTATTAGAACAATGCTTACAAATGACATATCTTTGATTGTATACAAATGCATCTATATTATATTTCATGTCTTCTATAATTTTAAAATATCTCTCTGCTTGAGCATACATATATACTTTATTTTGTATTGTAAAATATAAAGAATAATAAAATATAGAATTTTTACTCTTTTATATACTATATATAATATAATAAAGAGTAAATTATAGAATAAGATTAAGAAGAAGAAGATTGAATACACAAATATTTATAGATATAACATGGTAAGAAAAATGTAAATAGATTTTAATAGTAACAATTGAAAACCATTGAAAATCATATAAAAAATCATAATTTTGTTTATCTAAATGTAGATGATGGTTTTAATGATAAAAAAGATTTGTACAATCCATGTGCCAATTTAAGATGATGGATAGATTGCTTTAATTAAAATTTGAATTATTTTATTATTTTCTTAAATATATACAAAGTTGTTAAAGCCACATCTCAACATTGTTAAGACCATACATTTTTTCTAATTTATGATTCATTTTTGTATAAGTTCCATTTCTTTCATCCCATTCTCATCCTACATCTTTGTTTCCATATCCTAATTCCAACTCCGCTACCTTGACTCCACTTCTAGTCCCAACTTTGCCATTCCAACCCATCCCTAGTTCCAATCCAACTATCATGTTGTAATACAACTATATAGTAAAAATATAATCAAAAATAAATTTCTACTTAATATTTAATCATTTTGGTTCAATAATAATTTACGATATTTAAACATGGCTTTTATAAAAGCCTCTTAGTTTATTTTTTTATCTTAATAGCTAGTAGAATAAAGGTGGGTTAGTAATTTTACCTTCTAGGCTATAGAAACTCTTTTACTACCTTAGAAAGGCTATAAATTAATAAAACTAAATTAAAAGAAGTAAATAATTAGCATGGTTGATACTAGGATTAAGTTGAGGATAGGATTGGACTAAAAAATCCCTAAGGTAGGTTAAATTGATATCCAAGGATTGACCATTTGTGGAATAGGATCAAAATCAGACCTCTAGCTACTAAAATGATCGCCTAGGACAAAATAAGGGAGCATTTAAAGATTGATAATTAGGATTAGTGAGCTAGCTTCAAGTTGATTCTAGAGGTGTATGGTTTATTTTTAAAGAGCTTGAAATGACTTTGCAATTGTAATTCAAAGTCAAGGTTTGTATCAATGATTTGGGATTTATGAAATACAATTAGGGCCAGGACTCTTGGCTAGTTCGTGCAATTGGTATCACATCTATGGTTCAAAAAATTACTTGATTGATTGGGTGTATGTAAAATTTTATATTAATCTAATGGTGCAATTGGAAAATATCTAGATTTTGGTATAAGAGAGTATTAGAAGTTGGATATTGGAGTTGGATAGGGTTTCTATGATATCTAAAGATCTAGCAATTGAATCAAGGTGAAATTTGGCATAGTAGTAGAAGACTTTAAGATCAAGCTATGTAATAATTTTAATTTGAAGTTAAAGGTTGGAAAAGAAGAAATTACTACCAAAACATCTACATCAACTTTTAAGTTGGTAACTAAAAGACATTAGTGTGGTTTTTGGGCTTTTTCTCACAATTTGTATATTGGATTGGGCTGAATTTTTCTAAGCATGTAGAAGTCTTATATTGGAATTTTTTGAAAATTTTGCATCAAATAGATGGTTAGGTTAGGAGTTACAGCTCACCAAAGCTCATTGACTAGGATTATGTCTTGTAAGGAGAAATCAAAATTGTATAATTATGAAAGTAATAAGGCAATTAGAGTTTATGTATGATTGAGGTTTCTAAGAAGAGTGTTTTTGAGTACTTTGTAATGGCTTTAAGTACTTTGGAATTAAAATTCGAATTTTATTCTTCTTATATGGGTGAAACCTATTAGGATTTCTTAGATATTTATAAAACACAACTTCTTCTTCCTTAGTTAGGTACCTAGTGCATTCTCAAACAAGACAACATGTATTACAACACCGCCACTGTAGCTCCACCCCTAGTCTTGATCCTACTACCTCAGCCCATCTGGCTTGTCTCCACCCCATGCCTATTGTCCTCAATTCTACCTTCTTCTTCTTACCTTAAGCCTATTCTTTCTAACTCAAATTTCCTTGTCTCTACCTCAATCTTTTGTTTTCATTTCTTTCTTTGGTCATAGCATTGCCAAAAATTAATGGTATATGTATGAATGTTAAAATACATATAAATATAAAATTTATTTTTTATTTTTTATTTGAATGGAAGTCAATAATGACTTGTGAAATATAAAGTAAAAGTGTTTTTGATTTTTTTAAGGTTAAGATCATATTAATCACTATTTATTTAATTAGAATCATTTATTGTAAGTAATAATTTGAAGTTTATAAATTTATTATGGATAATTGAATGTTTTGTAATCTCTATGTGACCTTGATGTTTTATAATTTCTAATATGTGGCTTCAACAATGTTGGGATGTAGCTTTAATAATGTTGAGGTATGGCTTTAACAACTTCTTATCTATATATATATATATAGAGCGAGAGAGAGAGAGAGAGAGCGAGATTTATTATAACTTAAAAAAATTATTGACTAAAATTATTGACTAAAATTATTAGATATTGGGATTATATATATATATATATATATATATATATATATATATATATATATATGTGTGTGTGTATGTATGTGTGTGTATTTGTATATGTGTGTTTATTAATTGTATATCTTAAAAATTGTATGTCTAATTTTACCATGAGTTAAAAGAAAAAAATGGTGTATATTTAAAGAATTTTTTATATGCATTTAAAGAGAATATATTTAATTTATAATTTTGATGGCTAAGATTATTTCATACAAAGATATTTTCTTAGAAAGTTCATTTTAATAGCAATAAAAAAATATAATTTTATAATTAATTTAATTTTAAAAATAATTAATGCTTCAAATAGCTAATAAGAATTAATGTTTTGAATATATGTATATAATTAAATAACTTGTAGATTTATATTTAACTTCTATAGGATTGAATTTGGTATTTAGTCATTAAAAATAATTCTAATAAGTTAAAATTGGTTTGAACTTATTCCACTATTGTTACAATTTTTACATTAGAATAAAAATTATTTAAAATAGTCTAAATTTATGTATGTAATTTTATATAGAAAATTAATTAAAGAATAATTTAAATGTTTTATACTAAATATTGGTAAAAAAGTGTTTAATGATAAAAATTTAAGAGTATTTTTTTTTTTTCAATTCAAGAATATTGCTTAAGAAAAACTTATTATCTAAATCAACAAGTCGAATTTGTGTGAGGTTAATGTCTACTTGGATCTAAAAGATTTAATGTTCCCAATAATAATTTCTTTTAATAATAAAATATTTTTTAATAATAAAATGATGAACTTTTTTATAATAAAATTTTAAAAGTTGATCATTGCAGAGTGTTAAAAATAAAAATGATAATTATAATTATAATATTTTCTTTTTTATTTTTTCTTTAATTTCAGAGACTTATCTTGTGGTAAGATGGTCATGTTAGAAATATTCTATTAAGGATTTTACTGGTACTATCAATACTTTTGTCCACAGTATTCTTAAATTAATTTCTATCATATTTTACTTAAATATTTCTACCATTTGCTTATCATAATTTTGACACATACTTTGTGACATATCTAAATTTAATGTATTGTTCAAAATCATATGTATTGCAAAGTTTGTTTAGAAAACATGCAATGTTTGACCTAATATAATACACGTTGTGATACATGCAAGAGCTTATAAACTAGACAAGAAAATTTCATAAAAAGATCCAATATAACCTTGATGTTATTATCACTGTTTTTATCTAATTTCTTTATTATTTATTTTAAATTAATAACAAAAACCAATACTAGACATTTGACGTCAAAGTGCACCAAGGAATAAGATGGTCTATATTAAACATGTTTTTGAAAACTCAAATTATCTATTGTATAAAACAACTTAGGGGATAAACAAGAGGAGACAAAACCCTCTCTGATATACTAAATGCCCCTCATTGTTTTCATCAAAATTTTCCATCAAATGTGAACTAAAACTGAGATTAACTAAGATATGAATTGTGACATTAACATGCTGTTTTGGAATATTTCCAAGCAGAAAAGCATCCGAGAGCTCTTGTCAAAAAAAAGTTATGTGTGAATAATTCAGGGAGAAGCCTAACAAATTGGGTCACAACTTCCTGCCTGCAAGGTGCAAGGGAGGAGGGGCAATGGGTTTTGGATTTGGCGAAGTGCACATCTGCTCTCGGTTGTGCTGTGCCATTGTGTTGTGCCGGTTTCTCAAAGTTTTAAGCTCGTAGGTTGGGTTTCTCGCAGGTGGATTTTTCATATACTTGTTTGCTTTTGTTGAAGAGGCCACCGCACCTGCTGCCATTACGAACAAAAAAAACATTCAAATCTCAAAATTTGAAGGCGGGAGCCTAACATGGGACGATTACAAAACCATGCGGTTCACGCAGTCGGTGATCACCAAGACGTTGCGGCTTGGGAATCCTGTCGCCTTGTTGTGGCGTGAAGCAATGGAGAATGTCAAGTTGAATGAGAAAGTGATTCCTAAGTGCTGGAAGATGGTGTGCGCAATTCAAGAAGCTCAACTCAACTCCGCATTGTTCGACCGCCCGTATGAGTTCAATCCATGGCGCCATAAGCAGGAAGTGATGAACCCAGCTTAGAAGTTGCCATTGCTGGCGTTTGGAGGCGCCCCGAGGTACTGCCCCGGAGCTGAGCTCGCGCCCGCCAAGATCTGTATTTTTCTGCACTACCTGGTGACTAAGTTCAACTTGAAGAGTTGTGGTGAGGACACGGTTTCCTTCTTTCCCGTCCCCAAGTTCAGCAATGGGCTCCAAGTGCAAATGCATGAGCATGATTCCTCAACCAAAATTTAACACAAAATCAAGGTGTACTAAATTCCATCTTCATCCCTTTGCCAATTCGCTTCTGGATTTATTAGAGATAAGTTTGTTGGATTTGGTTCTGGATTTGTTGGTGATAATATGCCCTTGAGGCAGAAACTCTCCTTCCCGAAATCTTCAGGGAGACGTTGTAGGATAAAAATGCCGGATGCGAGGAACATGAGGAGGAAGAGAATGTGGGAGAAGAGAAAAAACATAAGAGGAAAACAGATTGTAGAAACGGTGTTTTGAGATGAGTGGTGATGGTAGAGTGTGAGTAAAATTGCTGGTGATAGATCTCATACTACTTTGCTAGCAAACTGTCCTTGAATCAGACTCATAATGTGGCGATTATAACCCTAAGATCGATGTTTTTGTTGTGTAAGAAACTTCGAGAGGAAAGTGCGTGAATGGACACACCCTCGCAAGCATTTGCGTTGCCCCACGTGGATCCGAGGCGGGGCCGTTGAACCTGCCAAAGAGAACGTGTGATCGGTTGACTTGTTGGGAGATAGTCTCCTCCTCAGGTGGCATTCCGCATTGCTTTACGTTACTTTGAAAGTGTGAACCCGAGTTCACAGATTTCTCTGAACCCGAACCTCAAAGAATACAAACCCTAAACCGATTTGCTATCTCATATCTCAAGTTCCTAACGGACTTGACAAATTCTGAGTGATCCGAACGCAACAGTCGATCGTTGTTCCCATTTTCGACATGTGCGTGGAACTTTTGAAAAGAAGAAGTCCGTTCTCTGATCGTTGCTTCGACCCTGCTCAAGGCCAGCGGATATGCACAAATCAAACAATTTGTGCATGAGAATCCACGGATTAATATTAATTTGTTTTATTGTAACCCAAAGCAAACTTAAGTTTTATGTTGGAGTTTTACTTGAATGATAAATTGAAAGTTTTTGAGTTTTGTGTTATGTATATAGATATTGATTACATGTTAAGCATACATTTGGTGGTTAGACATGTGTAATTATAAGCAAGTGGTATTCCATAACCAGAGGTATGAAAAGGTTGGAGTTGCAAACTGTAACATGAGGATATATGAGTTATGGTGGATTGAATTGGCCAATAAATTGTTCAACAATTGAGATGAATAATTTTATAAATTGATTGTTCTAAAAATGATACTATGGTGATTCTAAAATAACACTAGTATGGATAGTTATTAATTAAAAACCATATTAATTAATTGTTTAATTATATACATTCAATAAGAATATACATACCTAAAAGCTCAATTTTACAACATTGTTTCATTATTATTGTTATTGGAGACGTACCCAATCTCTATTATAAAACATTCGTGCATGTTAAACAGCAAATTAAACTTGTACATCTTTTTTGTGGTAGACGGCACAAATTTCCACTGGTGATAAATAAACCAAATTGAAAATGCAAATGAAGAATGGACCTACGTAAAAATTATTAATGTTAACTAGTACTTAAAATTCTGAATTCATGAAATGTTAGTATTGGTAAATTCATTAAAAATGTAAATTCTTCATGTAGAATAGCTCTGGTTTGATAAAAACATGTATTATTCTACAATACGGGTAAAGATAACATATGCTTAACATATCTCACTTGAATCATCTGTAATCACAACGCATCATGTGCATGTCAAAAACTCTAGTACACACTACCCCAGACACAACTTCATATTGCTGAGTATCAACAAGTTTCTAACGAAATATAATTGAACACTTTCCATGTCAAGAAGTAACAAAAATTGGAGAAGGGAGAGAGGGAATCATCACAGTGCCCAAAAACCTAATTCTCCTGTTCAGCGAGACCTTATGGAAATTGACTTTCAATGGATCCTAGGGTCTAAAACGAGGCAGCCAAATACGAAATCAGTAACTCTCAGCCCAAATCAACAATTGACAATAATAGAAACAGACGGAGTTGAAAAGTGAATGGTAAACTTGAAACATAATATTGGCATTCAAGCAAATGAACCGTTCAAAAACATTTTTGTCAGAATGCAAAGAGAAGAATGCTTGGATCAAATTGTTGGAGTCAACAGGGTCTCTTTTAGCGGGGAATTGAGGCACTGCTAGGTGCAGATCATCACTCCTTTTTGTCTTTGTCTTCATCCACGTCTGAATCTGAATCTGAGTCTGCATATTTCAGATCCACGATGTAGGTTATTAATTTGGTGCAATGAGTGCAAGTAGGTTCTATCTGACAAGGACAACGGGACAAAAAGCCCAAACCTCGTCTTCCCCATGCAGATGTTAATATAGTTTGACAGGAAGTAGGCACGCACCAGAGCGAACATCATCAGAGACTTTCCCAGAATTTTGAATCTGCTTCTTTATCATCCTCCAGATCAGGATCCACCAATAAACGTGCAAGACTAACAGGCAGATCAGCAATGTATTTAAAATGTAATATAGATACGGTCCATTTGGATACTTGTCTTTGTCCAATACAACCAGCACCTCATACCTGCAAGAACCAACACAAACTTCCATCACAAAGTCGACGTGGTGAATGCGTTAACGATACCATATATTCGTTATTTGAACAGACATCATCAACTCATTGTTTCAATAATTGTCTCCGAAACTATTCTGGGAGGGGAGAGGAATTTTTTTATGATAAAAATACAAACAAAAACCGTAAAAGTAGTACATGAGACTGCTCCACTGTCATCGTGACATACAAGAATTAACAGAACTGCCATACTTTGTGGAACATCAACTTAAGAAAAGATAAGGCCTAAACCTATTTCACAGATTCTAGCCGAACACGTTTGTTGTGGTGGCCAGGAGACAGTATCAGAGTCAGTAAAAAAATTAAAAAAAAAAAAAAGAAAAAAAAAAGAAAAGAGATTAAGTCCGAAGAAGTAATTTAGAAACTTACGTAGTACTCCTGACAAGGACAACGGGAAAATATAGGAGTCGCAGCAGAATCCAGGAAACTGCAAATAGTCCGAAGGCGATTTCAGGTACATAATCCAGGCCGCTGTACTTAGTCAGCTTGCCAACTTCCAAGAATACATCACTCGCATCATGTACAGCAAGTATTACAGATCCTGCACGTTGTAAGCTGTAACACGTACAGAAACAGAATTAGCCTCACTAACAAAAGATGTCAGTTCGATAATTCGACTGTTTAGGCAGGAAAAATGCTTTAACTTTCTGCGAGTCCAATTAATTCCTAAAAGATTCAAGTTTACGCTGCACGAAACGTAATCCATCGAAATTAATTTCTGTGTGAAAAGACTTATCCAAGTTGCAAATCGATCAACTAACTGATAAATCCATAAAAAAATTCCAGTAACTCACGCTTGCACCACAGAAAAATTATTAGAAGAGATGTCAGTTGAGTAACATCAGTAAATGTCATACTTCACTTAACTAACAGAAGACTGAAAGGATTTGGATGGTGCATCGAGTGATTTACTTGACAATGTAAGAGACTATGAGCAGCCCGAGTGCCCCGACATGATGAGTCATACTAACACCAAAATCTTTCCGCCTTGTCTCCCAAAAGCATAGAGCAAATATGCTGTAGGTGTAGAATCCACTAGAAAAGGCGTACAACATCTTCAGTTTGAGCCTGTACGCATCGCACGAAAAAAAGTAGTGTACTCATTTGTTATAGCGGAAAAAATGAGAAGCGCCAGAAGAAGTCACACATTAGGAACCTATGATACTGTTCACAAGGAACAGAATGTATTGCAAAATATTGACTCAAGTTTTTATTTAGCGGACTTAACACACAGAAGCGATGCGCTGCGCTACACGTGATGGAGCTTGTTTCTTACTGTGTACTTTCCAAGTTCTTCCACACTCGTGGTCACTCCTCGTTGCCTTGCAGCTCGGTAGAAGCTCTGTCTACGGTAGTGTGAGTCAAGTGGTAACGAAATCTGGAGCAACGTATGCGGCCATATCGTGTTCTGTTATAAGCTAAACAAAATGCTGCACCCCCTACAATTCTCAGCCAGCCCAAACTAAGTCCGAACCAAATGCAAGGCGTTTGTAAAGGCCACACATTCTGAAATTCCGACCGTGAACCACAAACTACCAGCATTCATTCGATAACCTATTCAACGGGAATAGGACATAGCGGATTCCCTTCCCCGATCCCAACGAAACCCTCACTGCATCCACAATTTCATGGTAGAATGCCATGCACTTCTGTAGAACGAACACTCTCGTACCAAGACAGTCGATCATGATCAATGAATTCTTGAACAATCTGTAGGCAAGATTCAAAGGGGTAAGATCAAACGCAGAGACCAGCACTTACTTTGCGTTTAGGTAGGGCCATACTTGGTCGCCTGGGCCAAGGTAGAACATCTTCGTCTGCGTGAACCAAGGCTCATTGTACGTGACAGCCAAAGCAAGCAACTCGGCCGTCGAGTAATACACACACTTCCAGGCCGATTCCTTGTACTTGATTAGCTTTTTCTCGTTCTCCTCGCGCTCCACGTCCGACAGTTTCAACAAAGCCTCTGGTGATAACCCAGCAATCGATTTTCTTCCCATTCTCTGTGAACACCCAATATTACATTTCATTCTTCCACAAACACACACAAGGCATCTACTACGACTACTACCATCATCCTCATCATCACAATACAGCACCTCCAATTTAAAACAGACGACAACAGAGAAAGTGCACTATCCCTCTAAACTCACCTCGAAAACAAATTTATCAAGGACGAAACGCAAGGTAGGGAATAGGAGAGCGAAGAAAGGCACGAGCGCCAAGTCACTGATCGTGGGCTGGCTGGCTTCCTCCCATCGCGGAGGCCAGTGCCACAATCCTGGGAGCATCACCAGCTGAGGGTCCTCCGTCGTCATCGATACCCTAAAATTCCAATCGATCGATCGTCCACTGCAACTTCACGACGGACGATATGTCTCACAACACTAAAGCGGAACCGATGCGGCACGCAAAGGACACTTTGCAAGGAGCTCTGTACCCACCCGCAGCACCATTACCATTATCCGCAAGCTACACCCTGCGTGCACAGTAGGTCACTTCTCCAGCTAGAGGAGCAAAGCATCCGTATGGCATGGCTATGGCAGCGTGATCGTCGAGGTGGAGAAGGGAGCCCCGAGAAGGCTGCAATCCACGAAGACAGCTACTTGCCTCATTCCTCCATGTCCCGCCTTCCCTGCTGCTGCTGCTCCTCCTCCAAGGTGGGGCACAAGACAAAAGAAGAAGGATTTGAAGAAGCCGTGAGTAAGTACCTGGTTACGGATCCAACTGCGGGGGCTCCCTCCCTCACTCTTCATCCCATCAAAGGGGCGCGGCAGCCGCAGCGGCAGCATTCCCGCCGCTCCCCCGTTTTGGATCGATCCCATTTTGCCTCCACCTGTTCCCTCGAACCCGAAGTTGACCACGATGAACAAAGGCAGCACCTCCGCGCCCCCGTTGCTCTGCCTCTCCCAAAATGTCATGCCACGTGAGGCCACTCACTCATCCATTTGTCTCTGTGGTTACTCCTTTCAATCTTGGTTCCTTCGCCAGTCCCACAAGCAGCTCGGCCCCATCTCCGCACCCTCCTTTCCAAGTTTCATTTATTTATTTTTTAACTTTTTCAAATTGTTGACAAAGAGTGCTCAATGTGTTGAGATCATTAAATATAGCCCGTGCTCTCCATAATATTTACTGTAGAATACAGTAAATACTATAGCTATAGTATTTAGAGTCTAGTGGAGAAGTATTGATTATCCTATTCCCTTTTTCTCTTCTTGTATACAAGACACAACCAGATCAATAGATTTTTATGTGTGAAGATCTCTCTCCTTAGAAACCTTCTTGTGTGTATGACTTACTACTAATCTTGTGTGTGTATATGACTTACTATTACTCTTATGTCTTTCTAAACATTCTCAACATATTATCAATGTTAAAGTAAAAGTAGAAAAAGTTATCTTATAGAGGATATTAACTTAAATAAGTTACTAGTGGTCAAAGGTTTGACTTTTGATATATGATAAAGGCATCTAATGGATATAGGACAAAGTCATGGACCAAGAGTCAAAATCAAAAGGAGAAAGTATTAACAAGGAAATATCCAAAGACTAAGTATGAGTCATTAGTATGTGTCATAGGATACCCTCGAGGCTCATGAGATGCCAAAAAGATCTTAGGGCCACGTGTATAAAAGTCAAAGAGTGGAAGTTGTCTTTTAGGACAGTAATCACTATTTTTAAGGAATGGGTATTGGAACTGAGAGACATCTTATTCCATACTCTCTTTGTATACAACCTTGTTGATGCTAAGTATTGTGTCTTCAAAGTGCTTGTTCTTCAATAGGTTATGGGCCCACTCACCTTTACTTGTGAGTTTTGAAGTAATTGAAGTCCTTGTTGTGAGGAATAGATCTTATGGTTGTTGCTGAAGTTTGAGTTTTCTCTCTTCTAACCCTTCTTATGCATCTAGTTGTTGATGTAGTTTTTGCTCTTACTTGTTGTTAAGTGCATTGATAGTCTTGGTTGTTGTTAGACTCCATTTAATGATATTTTAGAACTTGAGTATTGTATTTCTTTGTTGAGTTTCATCATTGGTGCTCTAACTTTGTGCTTTCATATACTTAACTTCATAAGAGATTCTTCTATTATTATAAGAAGTATTTTGTGTGGTTAGATGGGTGATTGAAGAGTGGCAAAGCTTATGCAAGAGATTTAGATAGAGTATAAGACTTGTGAGAAGTCTTATATGTGACGTTTAGAGTGATAGAAGAGTGAAATCACTTGTATAATTACAAAGAGGGCATTCTGGGTTTCTGAGACAACAACACCTTCTTGTTAATTTTGAGAGTTCTATCTTCTCTTTTCTTGATTTTCTTTCACACATCCCTTCTCTAGACATGGCTTCAAGTGAAGGTGAGAGCTTGAGAGTGATTGAAAAATTTAGAAGTGACAACTTTTATCATAGGAAGAAAAAAATGGAGCTTTTGTTGGCTTCATTGGATCTTTGGGACATTGTTGATGAAAGTGAAGACCTTCCAAGTGACAATGTTGATATCAAGGTGAAGTAGGAGTACAAATGTCGTGAAAGGAAGGCTTTTGGAATGATTGCAACAAACCTTGATGATGCCAACTTTTCACATGTTATAGCTTGTAATGAACCATCGGAGGCATAAAAGACTTTTTGAAACATCTATGAGAGTAGAAACCTTGCCAACATCCTTTGGACAAGGACGAAGTTCTTGATAGTAAAGATGGAAGAAGGAAATGACTTCATGGCTCATGTTAACAAGATAAAAGCACTTGCTAACCAACTACCAATTGTTGACAAACCAATTGATGATGAGGACATTGTGTTGACATTACTCATGAGCCTTCTCGAATCCTACAACTACCTCATTGTGGCATTGGAATCCATCAACATGAAGGAGCTTACCATGAACTATGTCACGTCAAGACTTGTCCATGAAGTGACCAAGAGAAAAGAAAAGGAGCTTGCAAGTGATGATTCGACTCTATTTTCAAGACAAGACAAAGGTAGCTATTTTCACCAATAAAATAATTCAAAAAGTAATATGAAGAATTGCTATATTTATAAAAAACTAGGTTATTTTGCTAGAAATTGATAGAGGGCCAAGAAAGGAGATAGCGAGAATACAAACAATGCTAGTGATAGTTTTGGTAGAGATGAGTATGCTTTCATGGCAAGGGAAGGAGCCTCCATGGCTACTATTTCGAAGTGGATTATAGATTCAGATGTTCCTAAGCACATGATACCATACAAGTGATTATTCAACACTTATGAAGAAGTTTCAGCAACAAAAGTGTCGTTGGGAGACAATGGCATGGTGCAAGCCTTTGGAATTGGCTCCATTGTAGTGGAGATTGTTGTGAAGGACTAAATCAAGAGGATCACATTGAAGGAAGTTTTACATGTTTCAAAAATGAAGAAGAACCTCTTTTCGGTGAGCAAACTTATATTATATGGTAATAAGATTCAATTTGATATGAATGGATGTTTTGTCAAGATATTGGATGGCCAACATGTTGCCAAAGGCCTTAGAGATGGAAATCTCTACTTCATCAATTGCAAGAAGGTGAATGAAATTGAAGTGGCGGCATTTGTTGATTTTCTACAAGATCAAGACAAGTTTGGAATTTGGCATCAACGACTTGGTCATTTGAATGCCAAATGCACGAAGGAGCTCCAATCCATGGTAAGTGGGTTGGATCTTAGTTAATTCAGCCACAATGCCATGACACTTGCTTGTGAAGGATGTATACAAGGCAAACAACAAAGGGCTTCATTTCCAAGTGGAGTTGCAACACGTGCAACAAAATTATTGGAGATTGTGCACTCAGATGTTTGTGGACCAATGAAGACACCATCAATTGGAGGAGGAAGGTACTTTGTTACATTCATTGTTGATTTCTGAAGAAAGGTGTGGATTTACATCATTAAAGCTAAGAGTGAATGTTTCTCAAAGTTTAAGGAATTTAAGGATCTTGTAGAGAAACAATGTGAGTGCATGATCAAAGTGTTGAGAATGGACAATGGAGGTGAATACATGTCAAAGCATTTTGATGACTTCATGAAGATTCAAGGTATTGCAAGACAAACCTCTACTCTTTACACTCCACAACAAAATGGAGTTGCTGAAAGAGTAAATCATACCATTGTGGAGATAGCAAGGAGTATGCTTCATAGACAAAACCTTAGGCATGAATATTGGGCGGAAGCTGTGGTAAATGCGGTGCACATAAGGAATATGTGCCCTACAAGTGCACTTACATCAATGACTCCACAAGAAGCTTGGAGTGGAAAAAAACCTTGTGTTTCAAACATGAGGATTTTTGAATGCATTACTTATGCAAAGGTACCACTTTGTATGAGGTCCAAACTTAATGCAAAAGGTACAAAATATGTATTTGTTGGATATTGTGAAGGTACCAAAGCATATAGGTTAATGTGTTTAGAAACCAAGAAGATCATCAAAAGTCATGATGTAGAGTTTTTGGAGCATAAAAGTACTTTTGAGCACTTAGAATAGTGTCCAAGTAGGAGTAAAGGTGTGTTTGTGGACACATCTTCAAGTTCAGCAAAGAAACAAGAAGAAGAACAAGAAGATGATGACAATGAAGATGGAGGAAATAGAAATCAAGATCAAGAGTCAAAGAAGGTAAATCATAATGTGCCTTCAATTCCTAGAACCAATAATAAAGACAATGAAGATATTGAAGGTGATGATGATGATGAAGAATATCAACCTTTGACTGAGAAAAAACAAGCATTGAGGAAGAAGAAGGGTCTTCTTCAAATGAAAAGAGATATCCTTTGAGAGAAAGAAAACCACGTGGTAAATGGTGGAAGGACCACATCTTTCCTCAAGTAAGTGAAGAACATGCCAATATTGTACTTCTTGCTGATCTATTGAGTTTATATGATGCAATGAAGTCCATGGATGCGTTGAAGTGGGAGAATGCTATGGAAGAAGAATATAAATTATTCATGGACAATGAAAAATGGGAATTGACTCAACTTCCACCAAATCGATCTTCTATTGATTATATGTAGGTATTTACAACCAAAAGGGATGCAATTGGTAATATTGTGAGATACAAGTCTAGATTGGTTGCTAAAAGCTACTCACAAGTTGTTGGTGTGGATTTTAATGAGACATTTGTTCTCGTGGCCAAATTCACCACCATTAGAACTATTGTGGCAATTGGGCAGTATTGGACTTGGAGATGCATCAAATGGATGTGAAGACAATTTTCTTCAATGGAAGTTTAGAAGAAGTCATCTACATGGAGTCACCTCAAGGATTTGTTGAAGAAGGCAAACAACACCTTGTTTGTAAGTTGAAAAAATCCTTGTATGGACTAAAGCAATGACCAAGGGCATGGTACCAATGCATTGATACATTCTTTGTGAGTGAAGGATTTATAAGGAGTGAGGCTGATCATTCCTTATATGTGATGTAATCAAATAGGTTCATATTGATTGTCATCTTCTATGTTGATGATTTAATTATCTTAATCAATACATTGAAGATGATGGATTGGTTGAAGGCAAAGTCAGAAAAGGAGTATGAAATGAGTAATTTGAGATAGCTCTACTATTCTTTAGGAGTACAATTTGTAAGAGATCGTGCTAAAAAGACCATTATAATGAGCTAAATCAAGTACATTGAAGAAGTGTTAAAACAATTCAACATGGAGGAGTATAAGCCTATTAGAATACCATTGGAGGCAAACTTAAAGTTGATGAAGCTCATGGCGTCGTGTTGTAACACGACTTTATGATAAAAATATAAATAAAAAAGATATTACTAATATTTAGTCATCTTGGATGTTACAAACAATGACCAATTTCAGTGCCAATAT